ATTTTTTGCAGCCAAGAACAAGAGCCCCTAAGTTGTCTCGAGACTGTCCAACCAACTGGTCTAAGAAATTTCGAGTTCGATCCGATCAACGACTCGTGCTTTGATCCTTAATGGGTGTAGTCTAATTGAATTTAAACTTTTTAAGACTTTAAAAAATTAATATTACTATTATCAGTTTGAAATAAGTTCCTAACTAATTGAGTTTAAAAACAAAAATTTATTTAGAAGTAAATTTAATGAATAATAATATTTATAACGAAAACTATCGATAATCGTTTTATATGACATACATACGACACTGTGTTATTTGATACATGAGGCAACTAAAAGTTACCACATTAATGTATGTATTTGGTGGAAATTAAAATTAAATTTTTAGTAGATTATGATAGAAATTTTTGAAATGTGTGGTTGAAAAGTTATGGGACCCATGAAAGATGTAGTTAACATTGATTGTTGGATTTTGACTTGTAAAATCAGATTTTATTCCGAACCAAACAGGGGTTAAATAGTAAATTGTCATGTGCATGCCACGTAAGACGACTACAAGTAGTCTTGACTATGAATAAAGTTACTCAATTTTAATTGAATAATGCTACTTGCAGTCGCTCACTGCAGCAATCGCCTTATGTGACACACACATGTCAAGTGTGTATTTGATGCATTAAATGTGGTAAAAAAAAAAATACCATATTAATGCATCAAATAATTAATATCATGTGTGTGCCACATAGGGCGACTGCTGCAGTGACCGACTGCAAGTAGCATTACTCGTTTTAATTACTGTCCACTTACATTGTTCAAGATTTTCAACGAACTCCCAAACGTTGCCCTAAATTCTCGCAGACATTTTGGAATCTGTGAAAGATCCCCATTACACGTTGATAGACGCAAAGCCTAAAAGGTCACAGTTCCTCTCCATCTTTCCCGGAAAAGTAAGATTAAAATCCAACGCCGCCGCGATTACGTTTCCCCCACCACAAACATGGCGGCCGTGATCCGAGCTTTCAGATCCTCCTCGTCCTCATCCACTTTCACTAATTATTTTATTCGAAGGTCTCTATCCACGGCGGCGTCATCGTCCGCCACACCCTTGAAATCCGAATCCTTCACTCCCTTGATAGATACTAAGGACAAAAATGTTCAGTGGGTGTTCCTGGGATGCCCGGGCGTTGGAAAGGGTACCTTCGCCAGCCGCCTCTCCGTCCTGCTAGGTGTCCCCCACATCGCCACTGGAGATCTTGTCCGTGAAGAGCTCTCCGCCTCTGGGCCACTCTCCAAACAAGTACGCCGCCTCTTAAACTGTATACACGTTTGTGCTTATATGTATAATAAATATTAACATTGCCTTTACATGTTAAATATGACTTCTGGGATACGTTGCAAAGGGAATTGGGATATTTCTTTGTTAATTGTTAGATCAGGAGCTTGTCTTATAAATTATAATTAAAGTTAAGGTCTTTTTTTCCTTTTTAAATGGATATATAGATGCATGGTTTTCAGGTTTGAAATGATTTCTATATATTTGAGATCTATTGGAATTAGAGATTCGAGAAGCTTTTCATGTAATTTTTAAGTGCTTTAATGTAATAATTTACAATGTCTTAGTGGAGAGGTCATTTTGAGCACAACACGGGTAACCCTGGTTATATGCAATATTATACAAGCCTCTTTCTTTGTGTACTTGTATATTTATGTAATTGTGTCTTGATTCTGTGTTGTCATAGTCCCTAATGATTAGTTACATTCACAAATGTGTACTGCTCAGGATGCATTTTGTGGTCCATTTGTTATAATAAACTCGGTGTCGTATGTTGTTGATTCTTCTTTCTTGGTTCTCTTTTGCAGCTTACAGAGATCGTGAACCAAGGGAAATTGGTATCTGATGAGATAATTATAAGCTTATTGTCAAAGAGGCTCGAGACAGGAGAAGCTAAAGGTGAATCAGGATTTATACTAGATGGATTTCCCCGAACAGTTAGGCAAGCAGTAAGTATTTTCTCCGTGTATATTAGCTTTTCTCAAAACTGTACTCTTCTAAGGTTCCTAGAGATAGGTCATGAAGGTTATGATATGCTAGACATTGAGCTTTCTATAAGAAGGCTGTCTTCAGAAAAGAATTGCTGCTGATCCTGAGAACATATTTTGAGTCGGGCCAACGATAAACTTCCAAATACTACACATATCGGGCTTGGTTGAGCTCCTGCTTTATTGAACTTCTTAATACATTGAGTATTCTCTGGTCCACAGATTTGAGAAAAGAGGTGAAAAGGTAGAAATAAGGAATATACAAAATGTCAATGACTTATAGGTTTTCATTTGAGAATGTTAAAAAGTATATGCTTTTTTTTTTCATTTCCTGTTGGTTGGAGGTGATAGGTAGTTAACAGTTAATGACTTCGTTCATGGTTGTCAGACTACGATCCTGTTTCCTAGGGCTCCAAGCACTTCATTCGATTAATATTTGTTTCGTTTTTCGTGCTTTGAGCAATGGTATTTCTTGACGTTCACTGGTATTATGTTAATATGTATTGGCTTCCTTTTTCTTTCATGCTTCATGTTCATTTCAAAATTTGCTATTTAACCAGTTCTCCAAACATGCACTTGTGAATAGAAAATGGGAGGCCATTGCATTTCTCTGTTGCATGAAGTTTATGCACATTTCTCAATAGTTCTTTATTTTTACCTGCAGGAAATATTGGATGACGTAACAGACATTGACCTGGTGGTAAATCTCAAGCTTCCAGAAAAGGTACTAGTTGAGAAATGCCTTGGACGAAGGATCTGCAGCCAATGTGGGAAGAATTTTAACGTGGCAAATATCAACGTCAAGGGTGAAAATGGAAATCCAGATATTAGTATGGATCCACTTCTTCCACCTCCACAGTGTGTTTCAAAGCTCATTACTCGTTCTGATGATACTGAAGCTATTGTTAGTGAAAGACTTCGTGTATACTATGAGAAGGTACTGCATTATTCTCTCTTTATCATGCTCTTTCTTTGCTGGTCAAATGGGATTGACGGGGGTGAGGGAGGTATAAAAATAGAAGATTACTTTATCTGCTTTTCTTAACAAGGAACGAAAGGTAACTATGATTTTGTTCTTTTAAGTAATATGATTTCACTGTCTGGGTGAAGGAGGATTTGATCTAAAATTGATCTTTGGAAATATCACTACTTTCTGGTTAAGCTTACGCACTTCCATTCCTTTTTCGGGTTAGGAACATTTTGTTCTTTTAAGTAATATGATTTCACTGTCTGGGTGAAGGAGGATTTGATCTAAAATTGATCTTTGGAAATATCACTACTTTCTGGTTAAGCTTACGCACTTCCATTCCTTTTTCGGGTTCAGAGTCAGCCAGTGGAGGACTTCTACCGTAATCAAGGGAAGTTGATGGAATTTAAGTTGCCTGGAGGTCTCCCGGAGTCATGGCCAAAGTTATTGGAAGCACTTAACCTTGACGAGAACGAGGATAAGCAGTCTGCTGCAGTGTAAATTCCCATCAATTGCTTTTTGCGGGTTCACTCACTGTATGCCAAAATTTTTGCAGAAAACATAGAGCATTTATATATTTAGCTTTAGTACCTTCACTTTCATTTTTCTTCAGTTTCATTTTTCTCTACTGAAGAAAAATAAAAACCATGGAGTTTCACGCAGACATTAATCCTGGTGCGTATGCTCAGTGTTTTTTATTTTTTTTCCTTTTTCCCTGGGAGTTTAGTTGTAATATTTACCCATGGTGGTTGAAGAGTGAGACTATACATTAATTCAAGTAAAAGTGAAATAATATGTTTCAAGTTTCCTTAATGCATTGGACACACACACATGTAAAAAGCTTTTTCTCTTGTGATTTGCTTGGTAAGGACAAAACTTTATGTGTCAAATGAACTGTACCTGTAGTGACATTGGTCGTCTGAGTGTAGATATGCACGCCTTGACGATGAAAGCAAGGCTAGGAATGAAGCTTGTTGAAAAAGTCATAATGAGCCACATAAAACCATTGATAACATCAGCTGTCATTTTGTTAGAATCATTCATGCTCTTCTGAAAGAAATGTGACCGTTTGCTCAGGCTCATCAGACACCATGTCCTCTTCAAGATTGAACTTTATTATCACATAGGAATTTAATCCGTTGACAGTAAATTTCAAGTAGTGAAAAGGATTTTATAACAGTGGACCATTAGACAATGGCAAGTCTGATATTTTGTCAAAGATGATTTAGGATAAAAACTTTTCACTGCTGACATGATAAAAAAATATTAGTTATGGTTCTCTAGTACTTTATACTTTCAGCAGTCTTTATTGTATTGTGCTACTTCAATGATGAAGAGGGATTTTTTTAGAGTTTTAGTTAGTAATTTTTTTGTTGTTATGAACCACAATTCATCAAACAAACATTTTTTATAGGAAATTGAACGATTGTTTTGAATGAAAAAAATCGATGCTAAAATTCACATCACTAAAAATAAAAACGGAATCCAATATGATCAATAACATTGAATGAATCAGCTACGCATTGATAGTTACCTCATAATTTTATTTTATTCTTTTAAATCAAAATTGAAGCATATTAATATTCAGGGATTATTTGATAATTTTTTTTAATAAAAATTAATGAAATGTGATTGAAAAGTTGATAGAAAATTGTAAAGGGAAGAATACATAAATACGGTTTTTACTTTTACTCATTTCAAAAATACCAAAACATGTTTTAAATTTCAAAAATCAGGTTTCTTTAAATTTTTAATTATGAAATAATAATTATTAAATTAATTTATTATTAATATTTAATTCTACT